TCAAGATACTTGACATTTTCTGAATGGCCACAGTACATATTGGGGGTATCCCATCCTTTAAAATATTTATTGGATAGCTTTTTAGTGGGAAGATAAAGTTGAACTTTTGAGAAGAATACACTTGACTGGAAAAATTAAAATGGAGAAGAGTTGATTTGTTGTTTCTTTGGGTTTATGTCTTAATTATCTAGTATGATTATAATGGAAATACCACCAGTGGGTGGTTTTAAATGCTACATTTATTTTCTCACAGTTGAGGAGACTAGAAATCAGGTTCTCTCTTTATCTATCTATGTTGTCTCTGGAGCAAGATGTTTCTCTGCTTCTGTAGAACTGGCATTCCTTGATTCCTTGGTGATCTCCACATGGCATTTATGTTCCCCTCCATTTGTGTGTTCTTCTCTGCCCCTTATCTGCTCTTTTTATATCTCAAACGTGAGCCCATTTAGACCCTATCCAGAGAAGCATCAACACCAGAAATAGAGACTAGATGGTGACATGGAGAGAAAGAGCAGCTCAGAACTCTAGACTCATAGAAAGAGAAAGGCTTTGTGCTGGTGGCCATGAGGCAGGCTTGCAGAATGTGCCCTTGAATTGTTTAAATGATGGTATGTTCCTGAATGCTTGTGTGTTTATCCAAAAAACCACAACTGAATAGAAGCAAGTACTGTTGAATGATGATGCACATAGAGGATTGTAATCATTGCATTGAAACGATACTTGTAAAACCGACGTTCTGCAATGTAAACTATCACTCAATTCACAATAAAAAAAAAATAATAAGTGAGCCCATTTAGATAACGCCTATACAAAGTCGGTGGTTCAAGCTCACAAGTCGCTCCTCGGAAACCCTATACTGGGTCTCTATGGGTCGGAACCACTCGATGGCACTTAACAACAACTACAACATACTGATATGGTGTGGCGCTATGGGTTAATGCACCAGACTGCAAAGTCATTTGAATTGCAAGGTAGGCGGTTCAAGCTCACCAGTTGCTCCTTGGAAACCCTATACAGGGTTGCTATGGGTCAGAGTTGACTCGATGGCACTTAACAACAACATACTGATATGGTGTCATTAACATAAGAAAGAAAGCCCTGTTCCCAAATGGGATTACATCCACAAGTATAACCAAAACCTATTGCTACTGAGTCCACTCTGGCTTACAGTGACCCTGTAGGACAACGTAGTACTGCTCCATAGGATTTCCAGGTCAGTTTGAACTGCAAAGTCGGTGGTTCAAACTCACCAGCCACTCCTTGGAAACCCTATGTGGGGTAGTTATGAATCAGAACCGACTCGACAACACTGAATGCCAACAGCGATCATTCAGAGGTGTCCTTGTGTGGTGCTACAGGATAAGCAAGGTCAGCAGTTCAAACTCATCAGCCGCTCCTTGGAAACCATATACAAGGTCACTATGAGTCAGAACTGACTCGATGGCACTTTACAACAATAATCATTCAGAAATACACTGCCTCGTCTTTCTTCTATGGATTGGCTGGTGAGTTCAAACGGCTGGTTTTTGGGCTAGCAGCTGAGCACTTAGGATTCTGGCACATATTTTGGGGCACAAGGCAATCCCTAACAGTCTACGTAAAATGTAATATTATTCCCAAAGTGCATTAAGTGACAAAAAGTGTTTTAATATGCTATCATGGTCAGAAAAAGGCTACGTAGTAGGTGGTAACTTGGATTTAGCAAAACCTTTGCAAATTCAGGAGTTCCACAGCATTCTGTCTTCTGGACTACATACAGTAGCACCCTTTCTTGTGTGTGGTTGTTGTCAAGTTGGTTCCAACTCATAGCAACTTCCAAGGTGGGTTTGAACCACCAACCTTGTGGTTCACACCTACCTGGCAGTCAAATTCTTACCCTACAATGCCACATCAGCAGTCCATTTCTTGTGGATTAGGACCCTTTTTTAAAACTTAAGTTTTGAAAAAACTCAAGTTTATGGATCTTTGACTCAGTCAACAAACTTCCATTTGTCTAGATTCACCAGTTGTGAACATTTTATTACATTAGCTTTACAACTCTCTAGTATTAGGATTGGAGTTCTCACCTTTCACAAAGGAGAGGCAGGTTCCATTCCTAGTCAAGCACACCTACCACCATCTGTCATGGAAGCTTGTGTGGTTACGTTGAACAGGTTTCAGTGAAGCTTCCAGATAGACCAGGAACAAGGCCTGGTGCTCCACTTCCAAAAATCAACCAGTGAAAATGCTATAGATCATAGCAGATCATGGGGATGGTCCAGGACTGGTGATGAGGCAAAGGCCAAGTTCATAGGTGCTAACAACAGCATATAGTATTAATATTTTACTTTTTGTGTAATCTCAGGGTGGTGGTTGTTATCAGGTGCCATCAAGTCGGAACTGACTCATAGCGACCCCATGTACAGCAGAACGAAACAATGTCCGATCCTGGGCCAACCTCACTACTGCTGCCACACTTGACAACACCAACGATGCAACCTGGCCAATCCATCTCGTTGGGGGTCTTCCTCTTTTTCTCTGACCCTCCATCTTAGCCAGCATGACATCCTTCTCCACCGACTGTTCCCTCCTGACAATATGTCCAAAGTATG